CACACGCTTTCTTCTGGCGCGCCTAGCAGGAGGAGCATCAGCAGGAACTCGTCCTGAATCTCTCGCCCTGGAGGGTTCCGGACGAGGTTCAAGCAGAGGGGCACAGCCCGATCCGCCCTGAATCCCATCAGCCCTCTGGGGGTAGGTGGTTGAAGGCGCTTCTTCGTCGAATCCCTTCTCCCCCTTCGCGGAGGAGTTTACCCTTCCCCTGGGTCTGGACGGGGGGGGGAGCGAGACGTTAGAGCGTCCAAGCTGGACCAAGAACACTCGACAATGGCCTCGGATAGGCAACGATTACCTCCAAGATGGCGCGGTATGACCCATGCTGGTCCACCGTACTGCCTCCACGAAATCCCGATACTGCCCAAAGAAGGCTCCACGTGGCCACGGAGGCTCCCAGGGGTGCCCCCGCGAGGCTGAAAAACTTCAAACGCCCAGTGTGTTGCTCTATGTGGCTTGTTTGCTCGACTTGACCCTTCCGGTCTGCTTACGGGACCTCGAAACGGCTCCAAGACCGATCAAAACGACTCCAAAAGGGCTGAAGAGGGACTCCTCCTCCAACCTCACACCGCATCCTCCTCTCTCATCCACCTCCTCCCGCTTTGTTTTCTCTCCGCCCTCTTCGACGGATAAGTTCAGCAATTCCACTCACGCTCAGACTGATCCCAGAGTCTCGGAGAAAACGCGTTTCGTGGACGCCTGCTGGGAAAAACTCAATGGACACAACAGAACCGCCCTCCCCTCCTAAACGTATGGCGCGCCCGCAGAAGAAACGCCCCCCCCCCCCCCCCCCCCAAACACAGGCCTCTCGAACTGGAGGGGGGCGGCTCCGAAGGGAAGGGGGGGGCTTCGAATCCGGGGGGGTCTTTTTTGGGGGGGGGGGGGGGGGCGAACTGGGGGAGCCCCCCCCCCCCCCCCCTCCCCCTAATTTCACCCTAATTCAGCTCGGTCAGGATCGAATAGAATTTACTATAGCTAGTTCCATGTGTAAGTGAATCCTACTCAGGCTCGATACACCTTGAATAGTTTAGGAGAATCCTATTAAGCCTGGATTCCAACCGTAGTAGAATCGGGCTACAGCTGGATCCAGCTGTTATTGAATCCTACTAAGGCTCGGTCCAACTTTAATCACATCAAAATCTTGTTCGAAGTCTGATTGAATCCTACGAGGGCCCGGTCCAGCTCGAATAGAATTAAGCCTGCGCTCGATCCAGCTCCTAGTAGAGCTCGATCCAGCGCTAATAGTATCCTATTAGAGCCCAATTCAGCTTTATAGCATCCTACTAGTGCTCGATCGTCGACGTCGTCGTCGTCGTCGTCGTCGTCGTCGTCGTCGTCGTCGTCGTCGTCGTCGTCGCTGCGCGACGGCGCCGGCGCCGGCGCAGGGGGGCCGCCCCCCAAGTTCGACCCCCCCTTGCAATTTAGGCCCCCCTACACAGGTTCGAACCCATCCCCCCCCTTCCCAGCGTTCACAGAACGCGCTCTTTCAAGTCTTGCTTGATGGCTGCCTCACCTCACTTTTCCACTGCATATTCCTACGCTTCCCTGATCAGGACAAATCGCCTGGCGATCGTTCCTGGAGGGGATACGCGAAGAGCCAATAATTAACATGATGGTTGCCAGCGTGAATCCAACATGGTAGGTTCTTGCAACATGAAATGGTTGTCAAAAAGGTAGTCCTTGTGTGTGGCATCAGGCATAGGAGTCCGCCTCGACACTTCCGAGTGCAGTTCGCGAAAAGGAATATTACATCGCCACTGCGCGAGACTTTCGAATGTGCACGCCAAACGATGCAGGATCCATTCCGCCTTTAGACGTCCACCTGCCTTTCCATAGGTACGACAAAATCATAAAGGGCCTGCCGTCGAGAAACAAACAACTTATGGGACGGATCCCAAGACCAGTCGGGAAACATGCCTTTGGAGAGTTACACCGACAAGCACAGATCTTACTTAGGTAGGCCGTCCTGATACGGAGCCCACGAAACACCACCCATGGGACGCAAGCCACAAAGGAAAACCCATGGGGCACCAGAGCAACAACGAGCAATCGCAACCATCAGAGGCATCGTAGGGCACCAGCCTGAGAGAGGCACCCATACAGTAGGAGCTCGACCGCAATAAACCTTCCACAAGAAACCCAACCCTGAGATCCCAGGACGTCAATCGATTCTTGGTAGGGAGACGTCAGGCTTTCCATCGCAAAACAATCGAAACCCAAGAAACCCAGGGCACCCTGAAGGCAAGCAAGGTGTTTCTTGGCATGGGTTTCCACTGTAGGGCACCGGCCTTAGAAAAGCACAGATCGCGCAGCAAAAAACAAACGGGCGACTACACTGCTAGTGTAAGTAAGTTCAAAATAAAGATGACGGATCAGATTTCCGTCTCATACCTAGATAGACCGTGTGGGAAAACCAGCCCTGAGCATTAGGCCAAACTCACGTGTCAAATTCCGCGTCCAGCCCTCGGATAGGGGCTCCTTATAGGTGAGAGGGAGAGAGAGAGAGAGAGAGAACCGGTTCGTTTCCCACGGTCGAACCACCCCCGCCTTGAACCCCTCAACCAAAACATTCGACATGATGAAAAAAGACAGCGCTGTAACAAATCACGCTTAAAGCTCTCGACCCCGTCTTTGCGCATGACTCTTCGGGACAGGTCGATGTGTGAAAGCCCTGGGGCCCGAGATGGGGATGAGAAGCCCGTCGGAATGACTTCACGACGCTCGGATATCACAGTCCTCCTCCTTCCGATCCAGAACCCGCTCAAGACTCAAATAGGTCCCGTGCATCGAGCCTCGACCATCCGCGGCGGCGACGAATGGAATCCCACTCATTTGCGCCGCCTGGCCCATGGACTGGAAACATAAGCTCAGCCCAGCCTGCCAAGCAGAGGAGACGGAATCGATTGCGAGGGTGGGGGCCCGCAGGCCCGGAAAGCGAGGACGAGGATGACGGGGGACCTTCCCAGCGCATGGAGGAGAGAGCGGAGGACCCCAAGAGGCCCTCAAGGGGCACGAAGGGGGCCCCAAGAGCCAAGAGGCCACGAAGATGCTTCGCTGCTCCTCCCTCTTTGTCCTCCCCCTTCTCCTCGCCCTCCTTCTTCTTCTTCTTCTTCTTCTCCTCGCCCTCCTTCTCCTCGCCCTCCCCCTTCTCCTCACCCTCCTTCTCCTTCCTGGAGGACATCCGTGAGAGCGGGCGCCACCCTGCCCGCAGCCCCTTGCGCGGGGAGAGACGGTGCAGGCATGGCCAGAGCGCCGTGTGGCGCCAGCGGCCCCCCCTCTGGAAGGTGAGCACGGCTGGGCCATGCTAAGTTTCTCGCAGACGCGGTGCTCTGGCCGAGGTCGTGTAGCGCCGAACTGGCGGGACCCCGATGAGCCCGCACCAAAGATTGGGGCAGACCCAAAAGGGGGTCCAGCTGAAAGGGGGTGGTGCCATAGATTTGGCGCAATTGTATTGCAGATGTGTTGCGCCGGAGAGTTGTGTTGCACTGTGTTGTAAGTAAGGTCTTGCACGCGAAAATCCAGCAATGCATATGCGCCCCGGAATGCATTGCACGGCCCAAATGTATTACAACCCCGCAGATCTGTTGCGCCAAATCTATTGCACCGGGTGGCACCACCCCTTTGCCGCTGGACCCCCTTTTGGGCCAACCCGGAAAGATCCCTCCGGCGAAGGTTCACTCTTACGTGCAGGTCGAGCCCGGAACAGAAGAGGCGCCCTACGGCGTCCTGCTCCGAGAGAAAGGGCCCGCCTTCACACGGACGCCGCGCCGGCCTTGGGCGCCGCGGGCTCGTAGAGGTGCGCGGCGAGGAGGGCCCTGAGGTCCTCCTCCCCTGCCTCTCCGTCCTCGAGGGAGGGCCTTCGCCGCACCCACAGATCTGACGCAGCCCCCATCCCCAAGACAAAACTGGACGAGGATGAATTCGGGTGAGGATGAATCAGGAATCTCCGAGATCTGGCGGCTCTGGATGATGTCTCGGGCGCCGGGCTTTCTCAAAGCGTCCCAGAACGCTCTGAGAGCGATCCCGGACGCTCTGGAACTGATTTGTCCTCGTCCTAGCCCCGCCCGACCATCCCCGCTCCCTCCCGGCTCCCCCGCGGCCGCTTGTGGGGGGTGAGGGGGGCGGGGGGAGGGGAGGCAGAGGTTGGGGGGCAGGACTGGGTCGACCTCCGACGTCGCGAACGCTTTTTGCGTCCCCGCCTTTTGTGCTCCCCTTGCTCGTCGGCCCCCAAAAAAATTATCCTGGCGAAGGACCCAACCATATGCAATTGTGAGTACCGCAATTCTGAATATCTTCTGAGGTGGAGCCCCCTACGGGGCCACGAAACGTACGAGGGGTGTGCCGAAATGGGTGTGGGTGACGCATGCGGGCACACCCACTGGGGCCTTCGGTGGAGCTCCCTATGGGACCACGAAACGTGTGAGGGGTCACGAAACGCGTGAGGGGTGTGCCGAAATGGGTGTGGGTGACGCATGCGGGCACACCCACTGGGGCCTTCGGCGGAGCTCCCTATGGGGCCACGAAACGTGTGAAGGGTATGCCGAAATGAGTGTGCGGGACGCATGCGGGCGGCAGCACTAGGACCTTCGGTGGAGCCCCCTACGGGGCCACGAAACGTGCGAGGGGTGTGCCGAAATGAGTGTGCGGGACGCATGCGGGCACACCCATTGGGGCCTTCGGTGGAGTTCCCTATGGGACCACGAAACGTGTGAGGGGTCACGAAACGCGTGAGGGGTGTGCCGAAATGGGTGTGGGTGACGCATGCGGGCACACCCACTGGGGCCTTCGGTGGAGCTCCCTATGGGGCCACGAAACGTGTGAAGGGTATGCCGAAATGGGTGTGCGGGACGCATGCGGGCACACCCACTGGGACCTTCGGCGGAGCTCCCTATGGGGCCACGAAACGTGTGAGGGGTGTGCCGAAATGGGTGTGCGGGACGCATGCGGGCGGCAGCACTGGGGCCTTCAGGGAGCTCCCTATGGGGCCACGGAACGTGTGAGGGGTGTGCCGAAATGAATGTGCGGGACGCATGCGGGCACACCCACGGGGACTTTCGGTGGACCTCCCTTTGGGGCCACGAAACGTGTGAGGGGTGTGCCGAATTGCGTGTGCGTGACGCATGCGGGCGGCAGCACTGGGGCCTTCGGCGGAGCTCCCCATGGGGCCACGAAACGTGTGAGGGGTGTGCCGAATTGGGTGTGGGTGACGCATGCGGGCGGCAGCACTGGGGCCTTCGGTAGAGTTCCCTATGGGGCCACGAAACGTGTAAGGGGTGTGCCGAAATTTGTGCGGGACGCATGCGGGCGGCAGCACTGGGGCCTTCGGCGGAGCTCCCTATGGGGCCACGAAACGTGTGAGGGGTGTGCCGAATTGGGTGTGGGTGACGCATGCGGGCGGCAGCACTGGGGCCTTCGGCGGAGCTCCTATGGGGCCACGAAACGTGTGAGGGGTGTGCCGAATGGGTGTGCGTGACGCATGCGGGCGGCAGCACTGGGGCCTTCGGCGGAGCTCCCTATGGGGCCACGAAACGTGTGAGGGGTGTGCCGAATTGGGTGTGCGGGACGCATGCGGGCGGCAGCACTGGGGCCTTCGGCGGAGCTCCCTATGGGGCCACGAAACGTGTGAGGGGTGTGCCGAAATGGGTGTGGGGACGCATGCGGGCGGCAGCACTGGGGCCTTCGGTGGAGCTCCCTATGGGGCCACGAAACGTGTGAGGCGGTGTGCTCGACGAAACGTGTGAGGAGGAGGGAGGAGGGAGGAGGGGGAGGAGGGAGGAGGGCAGCGGGAGGTGAGGAGACGCGGGGCGCTGTCTCTTCAAAACGAGGACCCAACACCACAGGATGGTTGGGAACAAAACAGGTCGCCCTCAGGGGGGCCGTCTTCGGACCCCAAACGCGCCAGGGGGCCAGCAGCCGGTCCAAAGGCAGGAGGGGCTGGGAGGTCTTTGGGGGAGCGGATCGGGGGCGCGGATCGGCAAAGATCGCGACGTCAAGTGGCGAGTGTGGCGAGGGCCCCGATCCTCCTCCGGCCCCGACGCGTCCTCGCTCGTCGCGAGCCTGGCGCTGGGCGCGGTGCCCACCTCGTTCGAGTATGCGCTGATGCGCGCCTGCACCGCCTCGGCGCTCGCCTCGGCACTCGCCTCGGCTTTTGCCTCGACCTTCCCCTCCGCCTTCGCCTCGGCTGCTGCCTCTGCGCTCAGGTGGCCGAGCGCCTCAGAGTGGGCGCCGATGCTCATCTCGGACGAGAGCTGCAGTACCTGGGTGTCGAGGACGAGCGCGCCAGACTGAGCACCCACCTGCCTGGCCACGAGGACCCCTGTGGCCAGGGCGCGAGCGAACATCATCTTCATGGCGAAGCTCGCGGGAGACAGCGAAGTGCACGACTGATATGAATTCCCAAGTTCGAGTTGCCACGGCTGCGGGGAGGAACCAGTAGGACATCCGTTCCTGTCCGCTGCGTGTTGACAGTGGGGAGGGCAGACAGTAGCTGGGATGGGCAGGGTTTCGATGATTTTCGCCTCACGGCAACGACGAAACTACCCCCAGCAAAGCACCCTCACCTCAGCAACGGTGAAGAGGCGGGTCGAGGTGTAGGATATCGATTCATGACAGTGTGCGTTCCTAGGTATTCCGAGGGATCTCTCAGACAGATTGAACCTGGACAGGGGTGAGACGGTGCCCTGACAAAAAGTGTCCACACCCATGGCGAAAAGGCGATGCAAAATAATAACAACCACAATTCCGAAACGCCCTTGCTTCGCACCCCTCCCCCCCAAACCCACAGTTGAAGTATCCACATTTTGTCCCTGGCCTTTGGCCCACCGCCTAAACCCGTCAACTTTGAATTTCGGGGAAGGCGGGTATACATGTTGGTCCGACGTACTTGAACGACTCAAGGTCTTGGCGAGACACGCTTGGACACTTTTACTCCACCCACCGAAGCACGACCATTTGCACCCTGGTTTACTTATCACAAGGATGATATTTCGGACCCAAGGCGTACCCAGCACTGAGGCGAGAGCACGGTTCCGTCCATGATAGGTCAAAGTCGGGCCTGTCCCCCTACAGGATGATTCTGGACGACAAATGAGAAATACCAAAACAAATACCCCTAAATAGTCAAAAATGGTGAACAAATCGTCCCCATACTAGATACCGATTTTTTGAATCGGCGATAACCCGGGTTATCCGGGGGGGGGAGGAGGGGGCCTGCCGATAACGTAACCCTCGCGCTGTGGGCAGCCCTGCATATGCCCGCGCCCCCCCCCCCCCCCGGACCTGCACAACCCGGAAAGTTAGGTTATCCTGGGGGGGGAGGGAGGGGGGCAAGCCCGCTAGCCCGGCTTATCACTCGAGCCTAAAATTACCCTGACGAGGGACCCAACGATATGCAGCTGTGAGTACCGCAGTAGTGATTCACTTTTTGGTGGCGAGCCCTATGAGGCAACGAACCGTGCTACGGGTGTGCCGACATGAGTGGCGTGGTACACAACGCGAACGAAAACGATTGATCTGAGTTCGTAGGGAGACTGAGCGCGGGTGAATCTGCGCGCGTGCGTCTGGCTGTGAATGAATCTGCGTGCGAGCGAGTCTACGCGCGTGAATGCGAATATGACAAAGCGTGGTGCAATTGTATATGAATGTCAATAGTTTGACAATGACTGCCTCTGAGTACTCGTGATGCTGGGCGTGGCCGCCGCAAGGAGCTTCCCCGGGACTCCCCGACGGCATCGCCCGCGCGCCGCGACGCCAATGTCGGCGCGCCCCCCCGCGAGGATCGCGCCCGCTTCCTCCCCTTCCTTTACTCCCTCTTTGCCCGCGCACTCAAAAGTCCAAGGCTGCGGGCGCATCGCAGCGCGGATTCCCCGCGACGCGCGCAGGTCGCCCCGGAGGGGTCCCTGCGACGCGCGCGGGTCGTCCACTGCGCGGAGCAAAGAGAGCTAGCTGGCTGGCTGATAGCGGGCAAGGCTCTTGCCGCTGGGCAGAACGACGACGGGCGAGCGAGGCGCTGGGCAGAACGCAGCACGGAGCCCCCGCGACGCGCGCAGGTCGCCCCGGAGGGGTCCCAGCGACGCGCGCGGGTCGTCCGCTGCGCGGAGCAAAGAGAGCTAGCTGGCTGGCTGGGACCTGCGGTGGGGCTCCATATGGGGCCACGTAACGCTGTACTGGGCACGGGAGACGCATGCGGACTGCGCCACGGAGACCTTCGGTGGAGTTCCCTATGGGGCCACGAAACGTGTGAGGTGTGTGTGTGTGTGTGTGCCGAAATGAGTGGCGGGGACGCATGCGGACTGTGCCACTGGGACCTTCGGCGGAGCTCCTATGGGGCCACGAAACGTGTGAAGGGTGTGCCGAAATGAGCGGCGGGGACGCATGCGGACTGCGCCACGGGGGCCGTCGGTGGAGTTCCTATGGGGCCACGAAACGTGTGAGGGGTGTGCCGAAATGATGGCGGGAACGCATGCGGACTGTACCACTGGGACCTTCGGCGGAGCTCTTGTGGGGCCACGAAACGTGTGAGGGGTGTGCCGACATAAATGGCGGGAACGCATGCGGACTGTGCCACGGGGACCTTCGGCGGAGCTCCTATGGGGCCACGAAACGTGTGAGGGGTGTGCTGAAATGAGCGGCGGGGACGCATGCGGACTGTGCCACCGGGACCTTCGAAGGAGTTCCTATGGGGCCACGAAACGTGTGAGGGGTGGGCCGACATGAATGGCGGAGACGCATGCGGACTGTGCCACTGGGACCTTCGGCAGAGCTCCTATGGGGCCACGAAACGTGTGAGGGGTGTGCCGAAATGAGCGGCGGGGACGCATGCGGACTGTGCCAGTGGGACCTTCCCGACATGAATGGCGGGGACGCATGCGGACTGTTCCATTGGAACCTTCGGCGGAGCCCTATGGGGCCACGAAACGTGGGGGCGCATGCGGACTGTGCAACTGGGACCTTCGGCAAAGCTCCTATGGGGCCACGAAGCGTGTGAGGGGTGTGCCGAAATTGGTGTGCGGGGCGCATGCGGGCACGCCCACTGGGACCTTCGGTGGAGCTCCCTATGGGGCCACGAAACGTAGGAGGGGTGGGCCGAAATGGGTGTGCGGGACGCATGAACACACACCCACTGAGACCTTCGGCGGGGCTCCCTATGGGGCCACGAAACGTGTGAAGGGTGGGCCGAAATGGGTGAGCGGGGCGCATGCGGGCACACCCACTGGGACCTTCGGTGGAGCTCCCTATGGGGCCAAAAAACGTATGAATGGTGTGCCGAAATGGGTGTGCGGGACGCATGCGGGCACACCCACTGGAACCTTCGGTGGAGCTCCCTATGGGGCCGCGAAACGTGTGAGTGGTGTGCCGAAATGGGTGTGCGGGACGCATGCGGGCACACCCACTGGGACCTTCGGTGGAGCTCCCTATGGGGCCACGAAACGTGTGAGGGGTGTGCCGAAATGGGTGTGCGGGACGCATGCGGGCACACCCACTGGGACCTTCGGTTGGGCTCCCTATGGGGCCGCGGAACGTTTGAGGGATGTGCCGAAATGGGTGTGCGGGACGCATGCGGGCACACCCACTGGGACCTTCGGTGGAGCTCCCTATAGGCCACGAAGAAATGTGTGAAGGGTGTACCGACATGGGTGTGCGGGACGCATGCGGGCACACCCACTGGGACCTTCGGTGGAGCTCCCTATGGGGCCACGAAACGTGTGAAGAATGTGCCAAAATGGGTGTGCGGGACGCATGCGGGCACACCCACTGGGACCTTCGGTGGAGCCCCCTATGGGGCCACGAAACGTGTGAGGGGTGTGCCGAAATGGGTGATGACGATGATGATGGTGGGAGGAGGGAGGAGGAAGGAGGGGGAGGAGGAGGAGAGGAGGAGGAGAGGAGGAGACGCGGGCCACCGTCTCTTCAAAACGAGGACCCAACACCAGATGATGGTTGGGAAAAACAGCCTTCTATCTTTTGACTATGTTTGAATACTTCCCCCGGTGGAGGGACGGGCCCGACTGAATGGTGGGTCCTGAAGGAGTCTTGGGCGAAACGGCGGACGGACCCAGGGCGATCTCGGGCGGCGGCGCCGGGGCTCCCCGTGTCCCCTGTGGGACTCGCCCGTGGCCCCTGCCAAGCGTGGGACTGCGGTGGCTCCCCAATCAGCGCTTGCACTGAAGGGGTCCTACCAGACTCTGCTGGGGAGGAGGAGGAGGAATGAAGGAGGATGAGGGGAGGAGGGGGAGGAGGAGGAGATGTTCGCCGGAAGGATTAAAGATGATTCAGCAGCCCCATTTGGGGGTGCTCTTTCGCCGTAGTCGGCCTCGGATCAAGCCGGACTAAGCGGGATTAGGCCGGATTAAGAAGGATTAAGCGGGATTAAACAGGATTTCGGACCAGGGCAAAATCAGAATTTGACCTCCCAGGAATTGCATCCGAATGAAGGGGTCCTAGCAGAGGATAATAGATTTGGCGCAAATTTCCCGCCGACTTTGATGGCAGACTGGGTTCCCGGGTTCCCGGTTCCGGGTTCCCGGGTGCTCGGTTATTGGTTCGGGGCCGATTTCGGTGGGTGCAGGGTTCCCGGGCTCCCGGGTTCCCGGTCGATCTCCTCAGCGAAAACCATCCACTGATTGGGGTATTTCTCTGGTGTAATTTTACCGCTCTGAAAACCTTCTGGCGAACGCTGTTAGGGAAACAGGCATTCAAGCAACGCGCCTCGTAGCATCAAGGGTGAAGAGGTGGATCGAGGCGTATTGGGGTCGGCTGGTGAAAACGAGCAGTCCTATGCATTCCGAAGGGTTCCTAGGAACGCTGAGCGGGACAGGGGTGAGAGCTCGGCCATGTGCACCGTAGGACATGTTTTACAAACGATCGTAGCCGTCCGGACCAAGCATGTAGCTGGCATTGAGGCGAGAGCGCTCTCCAACGACGATGACGATGACGATGACGATGACGATGACGATGACGATGAGACGATGAGGCGATGAGACGATGACGATGGCGACGACGATGACGATGACGATCGTCATCGTCATCGTCGTCGTCGACGTTGTAATCGTCATCGTCGTCGAATAAAGCATGAGGAAGTCTCAAGCGAAATGGCCGGTCCAAACGATCTTGGGGGCCGGTGGCGGGCTCCCCGTAGCCCCCGTAGCACACTTCTGTGCTCCCTTATCACCTCTACCAGCACCTCCTCCTCCTCGTCCTCCTCCTCCTCCACCACCACCAGGAGGAGGAATCAAACAACACGCGCGCCCACAGCATCAGAGCAGGAGAGCGGAGGACAAGCGGGCGGGAAAAGCGGCGGAGAAGCAAGGGAAGGGTGCTGGGACGGGCACGGGCACCGGGGAGGATGGGGATGCCCAGGAGTTCCCCACCCCCGAGAGGCCCCCAGGAAACCTCCAAGGAGGCCCCCCAAAGCCTCAACCTCTTCTTGCATCCCTCTTCCTCATTACATAACTCCTCCCTGTCGCACCCCCAAACGTGTCCGTAGAACGGACTGGGCGTTTCGCCTGAGACTTCCTCACAAGTTATGATCCTGAGTATTGAACTTTG